AAAAATTGGAATGATGTTAGAATCCTCTTAATATATAGCTTTCGGAATTGGTTGAAAAGGTTACTTTAGGAATTGGTTGGGAAGTAAGTTTAAAAACAAGTGACAAGTGACTGAGTTTATAATGAAAGGATATGTATCTATTTTGATGGAAATATGCAATACTGAGGACATTAAAGTCATGCACACTTTTATTTAATAATAAAGAAGAATTATGTGTTTTAATGGAGCCCCAAAAATAAACTCCACCAGTCCAACTTATACCTTATTGTAGTCATGTTTATATGGTTTATAGTCATGTTTAGGTGATGTATTTATAATAAATTGTAAGTTTAGATTGTTTGTGTAGTAGAGGATTCCCCAACCCAAGGCAGGCATGCCAGAATGTAGTATGCTGAGGAACCCTCAGCATGTGTGTTAAAATGGTAAGATGGAAATATCTCCACCCTCCACCATATTAGATGGATCTAAAATCTGAGAATGATGTAGAGATGGTTGACCCTGATATTATATGAGAAGGAGTTGATCGTGGGGTGCAGTCAAATAAATGCTAAATTATAGAAATAGTATTATTTAATTATTATGCCGACGTTTCGACCCACCTTGCAGGTCTTCATCAGGGCGTGGGATGTGGTATTGCGGGAGGCAGTTGAAACACTAAAATCTCAGAAATTTATATATTTATTTTCAAATTATTACTTACATAGATAAGCTGGAACAAATATTTTATGTGAAACTAAAATGATATAAAATTTTTGCACTCGTAACAGAAAACTTTTGGAACAATTTTCTTTTTTAACTGAAAATTTTAATCTGTCAAAAACATAATAAGTTATGATGTTATCAAAAACAATAGTGTCTTATAAGAGGGATTTGTCACATAGAAAAATGGAAGAACAATATCTCCTTGAAACATAAATATTTTCACGAATCTTATTCAGGGTATTATGAATTACACACAAGGACTCTTCATCTTTTTTAAATTAAGAAATTTTCTTACAAGTTTATTTATTGAAAAAAAAATTTAACAGTCCTTGAGACCCCTGCATTGTTACATGTTAGCCCCGATTTGTCAAGAATTTTAGACTAATATGACACCAAAGATGAAGGATAAGGATTAGCATTAGTTACTGCATGGCCACTTTCGATGATTTATTTATTTAGAAAATCTATATCTATAACAGCCTTAAATATGATAGTATATAAATATTAAATATAAATACTATTTACCGATATGAATGTGAACTAACAAGGAAAGGTCACAGCCATAGTCCCTAATATAGACCCTGTTGATCGAATTATTAATATCTCTCTAAAATTTAGATAATGGCTTCATCTAATGTTATTAACCTTCTTATACTATCGTAACTTTTTATGAAAATGGAGAGTTTTCATTAATTAATTTAATGAAGTACTTAGAACTCATGAATATTCATTTGCATTCCACTTGAATTGTAAAATAATTTGATCATGAAATCGAGAAAAAAGGTGGTCAACAAAACTGTTGTGTCGTTGTAAACTCGTTATTATGACATGTTGGGAGTGGAGGTCATGCCAATATTTTTGTAAGCCACCTTTCTATTCTCTATTTTGTGATCAAATTAAATTAAGATTCAAGTGGAAAGTAAATGGGTATTCATGACCTCATTAATTAAACAAATTTTCCAATCTCCAGATTGAAAAATCCTCAGTTCTGAGAATTGTGAGTAAAAAAGTAGCAGGTTACAAATAGATGAAGCCCTTCTTGAAGTTTTAGGTGAATGTTAATAATTTGAAAAAAGGGATCTCTACTGCGAACTATCAGTGAGTGGTCACTAATTACCACTTCTTTTTTTTCTCTAACTTCATCAAACAATATTGGACTCATTTTTTTTTTTTGTTTTCTGTTGGCATAACAGACCATTTAGATCTTTTTCCGCCTTAACAAGCCTGCTCCATCTCTGCCTGTCTTGGGCTATTTCTTTCCATTTATCTATCTGCAGCTCTATTGTATCTTTGTTGATTCTATCTATCCATCTGCTTTTTGGTCTCCCACGTGATCTTTTTCCTTCTATTGAGGCATTCATTGATACATAGAGGGTTCCAGATGGATTGCTATGAGCTACATGCCTCGCCCATCTTAACCTCCGTGCCTTCATATCATGGGATATTGATTGACCAGTTTCTTTAAGCTGTTCTTTATTGGTCTTTCTTCTCCATGAGTTAGTACTCTGATCCCAGATCGCTCCGGTTATCGTGCGGAGGATTTTCATCTCAAATCTTTCAACACTTTTTTCTAGGGTGCTGGTTAGTGTCCAGGTTTCACAGCCATGCATTAGAACTGGCTTTATCATAGCATTGTACACCCTTAGTTTGTGATTTTTTGGGATTTCAATACCTTTGAGAGGGAGAAGAAAGCTCTGTTTGCACTAGATATACGCTGGTCTATTTCTGCCCGTTGGTCATTCATTGAGGTTATTGTGGAACCCCGAGGTATTTGAATTTTTTTGCTCTCGGGAATAATTTTCCTTCTACACAGATCCTGTTATTGGGGTGGAATTTTCAGCTTATTATCATATATTTTATTTTTTCTTCATTTATTTGCAGGCCGATCTGCTCTGCCTCTCTTACCAGTGTTGTAGCGAGTTTCTCGATGTCTTCTTGATAACTTCCAAGAACAGCTATATCATCTGCGTTTTCAAGGATTTTATGATTCATCCCTTTTCCTGTGATGTTGCTCTTATTACCTTATCCATGCTATGTTGAACAACATCGGTGATAGTCCATCTCCCTGCTGTAAGTCCGTTCAAACTTCGAAGGCTTCAGATATTTCTCCTTGTATTAGGACTCTACATTTGGGGTCATTTGTAAACGCCTTTGTCAGTCTCACCAACTTACCGGGAATTCACAATTCAGTCATGATTTTCCAAAGACAGTTCCTGTCCACAGAATCATAGGCTGCTTTGAAATCAACAAATAGGGCATGGACGTCTACTTACTTCCCATCATTTTTCAAGTTCTTGTTTTAGGATGAAGATCTGATCTAGCGTGCTCTTCTCTTTTCTGAATCCAGCTTAGCCTATTATATTATGGATATATTCAGTTTAGTAGGATATTGGTCATTATCTTAGAGGCGACCGTAAGAAGTGCTATGCCTGTATATAATTACTACTCATACTCGTACATGGAGCCTTTCTTTAGGATTGGACAGATTAGGCCCGTTTTCCAAGCCTCAGATATCCTTTCCTCTTCCCATATTTTCTGGATTAGTTGTCGTAGTTCATCTTCTCCATCTTTAAATAGTTCTGATGGTTGCTTGTCTATCAATGGGACCTTTTTTGTTTTGAGCCTTTCGATAGCTATTTCTACATCCAGTAGATCTGGTTTTGCAACTTCTTCTGGGTCAAGGTCCTCAGTGTGGTTCATGTGTTCTTCGTTTGTGGGGTCCCCTTGATTGAAAAGTTACTGCAAATAGTCTTTCCAGATGTTCAATATACTTTCTTTAGATACTGTCAAAATGCCATCTTTTCCTCGCATTTGTGTATTTCTCGGTTTATATCCTACCCTTTCTTTCCTAATGTCTGCTTAGAATTTGTCTCCAGCCTGCCAGTTGTCCTCAATGGTTTGCAATCTTTCTTTGAGGAATTTCCTTTTTGCCGATCCTATAGTTTTGTTTTCATTTTTCTTCTTTCCTCTACTGTTTTTTCGCATGTTTCTGTGAACCAAATCTTTGCTTTTCGTTATTCCTGAATACCGATCACTTCCTTAGTCCTTTCTCTATTTCCTCCCAGTGTTTGTCCATGGTGGGGCTATCCGAATCCAAAGGTCAAAGGTTTGAATTTATTTTTCAGCTCTAGTTGGAATTTGGTTTTTACTTCTGGATTTTTCAAATTATGGACTTCAATCTCTGCTGGACTAACTATAAATCCTGTGCTGGCTGTCACATTTTTTTTTATTTCTCCAGGAGTAGAATCGTGTATGGCCGTCAATAATGGTTTCACCACCATCTGGCCACTTTACCCCTTGAATGACTGTTACCGGTATGTTATTCCTGTTTAGTTCCTTGACTAACGTTTTTGCGGTGCCTGGTCTGTATAAACTACGTGCGTTCCAAGATCCAATGTATAGTCCATGATTTGAAGCTGATGTCATTACCATATTTCCGGGATAGGTTTATTAGCCCTATGCCAAACCCCCAACCTGGAGGACTAGGAGGTATGGTGTAAGATAGAAGGAGGGTTGCTCACCTCTCTGTGAATCTCTGGGTGACAAGTGAGAAAAATTAATTTTTTTGTTTTTACTGGAGATTTTTATATATGTGTTTTTGTGGGTGCTGAATCTGAATTTGAATCGTTTTATTTTAACTTGCTTCATTTTGTGTGTGCCTCATTCAAATGTGAGGAACTAAACTTTCCAAATTGGAAACACATATTTTCTTTCTTTTTAATAACAATAAAGTTTACAGTTGCTAGATTTTAAGGTAATAAAAACATTTGAACAATTAATAATATTATCTCTAAAATTTAAACTGGTTTAGTAGTATCCAATTTCTGTCATTTGGTGTATATTAATATCCTTTTGGTACCATAAAAATTTGTAGTTGATCGATTGCTTCTTGGAAGTTATGAAAAATTCTCATGATTGTTGACATATTTTATATCAGAATGGTAGAGGAAATTAATTATTGGACTAAAAACAATGTTTTGATTTCTTTGAAAACGTGGTAAGTAATGATTTTTCAAAATGATGATAGTAAATATAAAATTTAAAAATAAATTTTCACCTTCTTTACTTGAAGCAACAACAGGTTTATTGGGATTTACCACAACAATTTTACAGGTTTTTTGGACTTCAGAGATCATAAAACTTGTAAATCAAGTCAAATAAAAAAAATTATTTTCGACCTATTACAGTACTATCTCGAACTTTGGTAGTCACTAAAATAAATTTTATACTTTGACAAAAGATTAATTTTCTTTTTTTGTTAAATTAAATAATTAATAAATGTTATTTTCTTTTTTAAGATTGAGCGTACCGGAGAATACACCTTTCACAGCAGTGGTTAAATTTGCTGCTGAGGAGTTCAGAGTACCAGCAGCAACTTCAGCAATTATAACCAATGAGGGAATTGGTATCAACCCTTCTCAGAATGCTGGTAGGTGCACAGAATTATATCTCAGTTCTTAATGGCCAAACTCTGGTGGGGGGGGGAAAGTCACTCTAGACAAAATTTCTCACAAAAAATTTCATTTGATGTCAGGGCCGATTCCAAACGGAAAAGGAGCTAAGATGTCTTAGTCCACCATTTTTTATACCTAATTTTTCTCTTGGTGGTCATTTTTTTTATTAAATAAGAAAGAATTGCTCTAAAACTGTTCAAGATTATTAAATTTTAAGTACACCATCGTAAAACAGCCAAAATTTTGTTTTGAGAAAACAGTGATTTAATTTACCAAGGTCAATGATGAAAGGCACTTTTAGGAGGTCAAATATGGCCTCTATACAGAGATATGCTGCTCGCGTATGGGTACTGTTACTACAGCTGTACAGCGGCCGTATTAGACCTCCTGAAAGTCCTTTTTATTATTGATCTTAGTAAATTTAAATTTCCTTGCATCATTGACCTTACTAAATATAATTATGGTTTTCTCAAAAAAATTTTGTCTACTGTACGATGGTGTACTCAGAATTTAATTATCTTGAAAAGTTTTTTAGCAATTTCTTCTTATTCAGTAAAGGTCTTGACTATACTAAGAAAAACACAAAATTGGTCTTAGCTCCTTTTCCGTTCAGAATTGGCCTATGCATAATTTAAAAAAAAAAAAATTCTGTATATTAATTATAATGATAAATTAACAGTCATTTCGTATATTAATAATAATTATAATAAAATCTGGTGCGCACAAAACACAACTTTCACTTACCGCTCAACTATGAATAGAAATTATTTTCTGGCCATGTTGGGCTATAATTAAATTTTTGAATGAGCTAAAGCTAAAAAAGTACAGCTAACAATTCATAAACATCATTAAAATAACAAAAGTTTTATTTATTATACCATTGGTTGATTATGGATTGTAAAACTATTAGTTATTAAACTGTTATTTTCTATTGCAAAGTTTACTAAAACTGAATTAAGAGACTTGCATTGTCTGACATAGACAGGTCAAAAGTTGTCACACTAATTGTAAGTGGATACTGTTGGAATATTACAGAAGGAAATTTCATCAAACTATTCACTAATTTAATTTTCATTAAGATCACATGAAATTACGTGAATTACATGATGATAAGATTACATGATGATTTTTTGGAATAAACGGACGATAAACACCCAAATATTTAAATATAATATCAGATCTAAAGTTATTAAACTACAGTAAATATATTTAAGGTTATAAATGTATCCATGAAATATTTTTATATTTCACTTCTTCTTTTACACAAGTACAATGAAATAGTAGTGGGTACTGTTGGAATATCACAAAGGGAAGATTCATCAAATTATTCACTAATTTAAATTTTTAAAATGTCACATGACAATATTTTGGAATAAACGGACGTTAATATCTAATTATTTAAATGTAATATCAAATCTAGAATTATTAAACTACAGTAAATGTATTTAAGGTTAAACATATGCTTTATACATCCATGAAATGATTTTATATTTTATTTCTGCTTTCATACAAGTGCAATAAAATAGTTTTTTAAACGATGTCATTGCCTTGATTTTAAATATTTTTTTCAAACTTAAAAATATTTTAAAAGGTTACATTTAGTTAGTAAATTTCATTTAATTTCCTTGAAAACATGTGATTTACGTTAAACATTATTAGTTTTCAAAAATTATTATTTATAATTTTTTTGCCGCTGTCCGTTACCTTCTATAACTTTCTATATTAGATATTGTTTTTTCTAAAATTCTCCACTTTCCAACGATATATTATACCTATACGTTCTGACTAGTATTTCCGGAGATTCATTTTCGACCTGGATGAGCATTTTTATTTTTTTTCTCCTTTATTCAATTATCAAATTCTTTCAAAAGTTATATTTAGCATTTTTTCGTAACTCTTAACAATGAGAGATGGTTAATTATTTAAAATAAACCATATTAAAGGTACTTTAGAGGAAGACACATATGAACATTGGACATTTAAGTCCTGTAAAATGACATCAACGGGGATAAGATCTAAATGATATTAAAGATCACTTAATTATACAACAATACACCAAGTTTAATAAAAATTGTTAGAGCCCTTTTTGAGAAAATTGTAAAAATGTGTTTCACCGTTGATATAAAGTGACACTTTCAGTCAGCTGATTTTAAGGAAAACATTGCTGTCACATCTAAGGCATATATCTATCTTAAATATGTAATATCAATTTCGTATGACTTTTTGTTTTTGAGCTAGACTGCTAACATATAGACATACTGACACACAGACCATTTTTCGGGACTTGGTTATTTGGACTCAGGGTACCCCAAAACTTGTATTTCTGTTGAAAACTCAGATTCAAAAATTTTCACGATCGCAATACTTACCCTTACTGTATATTACATATATACGTAAGTGAAAGTAAAAATTTAAAAAGTCATTCCGTATTAATACATGGTAATCTATTTTGAATATTTTTCATACTAGCCAAAAGGAAATTCCATATATTCTTCCGGCTTCATGGTAGCTCATTCCAACATCATGCTTTAATCTTGTAGTAATTTCTGGTGCAAATTACTAAAGAATTTCAAAACAAACAAAAACATTAGCAGTGTAATAAATTTTCTGTAAACAGTCATGTTCCCATTGTTTAGCATAATTGTGGATCTTAACTAAAAAATCTGGTGCACACAACTTTCGCTTACCAACACCAACTTTGGAATAGATAGGTATTTTCTTATAGGAAGTCGAAGTGAAAATGATGGTATAACTTTATTTAAAACAATTAATTACCATGTTTTTCACACCCATCGAATCAGTTAAATTTATACATTTGCATCACTTTCCATTTCCTTTTACCACTGTGTATAGTATCAAACAATATTAATAATTGTGGAGAAAATTGATCTTTTAGAAAAATTCTGAGTTTGATCACAAAGCTCAGCAAAAAAATAACTTAACGTTGGTAAATATTACATATTAGGTATATAAAATTCTCAACATTTCGCATGAAAATCTTTTGAAAAAATTATGGATTACTGATACATAAAAGTTAAGCTAATTTAAAAACTCTGTACAGAGGGGTATCAGGTATCTGTAAAGAGAGAGGATCCAAAAAGGTCGATCATTCTCAGCTAAACTGCCGAGCTTCCTGCATATAGCTAGCTTATATCGTATAGCTTCCTACCCTTATTTCCCCTTTAGTTGCCAATCAATTTTCTTCATTCACTATATTTAACCATTTTTTATAACAGGTTCAAATGTGAAATGGTTAATTATTTTAAATTAAAAAAGTTACTTTAGAGGAAGAAAATTAGGCATTTAAGCCCTGCCTGTTTGCATCGATGAGGATAAAACCTACTTTAAATTAAAGACTACTTATTAATACATTGGCCTAGTTAGTGCGTTTAATCAAAATTTTTATTGTCGTTTTTGAGAAAATTGTAAAAATGTGTTAAATCGATGATATAAAGTACCACTTTTGGTTTGCTGTTAACTTTATGAAAAAGTTAACATCCCAGGCATATACAAACCTTAAATACACAATTTTTCGGTACTTGGTAATTAGGACACTGAGGACCTCAAAATGTGTATTTCTGTTGAAAACTCAGTCACAATATATTAATATATAGGTAAGTGAAAGTAAAAAGAAAACGGTGTGCACTTTTGTTTTGTACTGTAGTATATTATTTCAATCCTTTTTTTAAGATTTCATAAAATTATTGAGGGACAAACAAATTATTTTTTCTTAGCACCATTTTTCTGATAATCCAACTGTTATTTTGATAATTAAACGTAAAGGTGTAATCTCATTAAATTTTCTTGTATAATATTTTCCATATCAATTTTAAACTCACAAGGGAATTACGCCAGTTACAAAATCTTGATGATTTTAAATATATTAATAACAATATAACATTATGAAAAGATAATGTAAAAATGTTAATTACTAAGATAACTAACTAGAATTGTTTGGCAAATGGACTTTGCCACTGCTTTCAAAATAAACAGCTCATGTGTGTTTTTTTTCAGGTTCTGTCTTTCTCAAGCATGGTTCTGAACTGAGGTTGATTCCAAGGGATAAAGTCGGCTCTTACTGTTGATATTAACTTTTTATAAATTGTTTTTGGCTTAAAGTATTTAAGAAATAAATGTTATGTTATATCTGAATCTTTGATATTTTTTTAATAAATAATAATTTTTAAAAGTATTAAAATTTGATTATAGCTTTCTTTAAGTTCTTTTTTTTTTCTTAAAAAGTTAATGTACTTCACTAATAAATTCTATGATTTTTTTCTCCCTTTACATGCTGTTGTCTTGTATAGTGTTTACTCTTTGTCCTTAAAGGAAATGGGAGTTATAGTAATTTTTTTGTATTGCTTCCTATTTATTAATTTACTCATTTGAAATAATTTATTACAAGAAATGAATTATAGAATTTAGTTATCATTTGAAACTGTAAAGTTTAATCATGTTTAGTTAGTGATTCCTCAGGTAATTAATAATGAAGATTATATTCATGATGTTAGCATAAATGATGTCAAAACTTCGAAAGTTAAGGAAGTGATAAAACTATGATTAAACAAAATTATAATATGTTTTATAATATGTGTTATAATATGCGCTGGGTCGTTGTAACTGAATCAATGAATGTCTTAGCTGCTATCGACAACACATCCTCAATTAATTCTATTATTAAAGAAATATTAAATGTATGGTGGGAAGCAAAAAACAAAGGAATGTTCGTTTGGGTGCCAGCCCACTGCAGCATTGCTGGAAATGAAAAAGGTGACCAAGCAGCCCATTTAGCAAGGAGTGAAGAAGAAACAGCGGAAATAAGACTAAAGAAAGTTACCTTAGAAGACTGGCTACACCACGCAAAAAAAAGACTACAAACAGAATGGAGGAAGGAATATGAAATGAAAGAATGCAAAATGAGAGAAATAAAACCTAATTGTGACAATTGGCTCACAAGCTACAGAAGTTCAAGGAGAGAAGAAGTTATGCTTTGTTGACTAAGGATGGGACACTGCCAGTTTACACATGGCTACCTTCTGAGAGGTCTCGAAGTGCCCACGTTTGAAAAATGTGATAACGTTCCACAAACAGTGAAACACTCACTGGAAGAATGTCCTCAATTTGAAAGTTATAGACAAAAAACAGGCTTAGCCAAAACATTAAAAGAAATCCTTCAAGATACTGTAGAAACAGTCAATACTTTGTTTAAATTTTTGAAGTTTATAGAGTATTACAAAAGAATATAAATCACAGTAAAACACTAATGAAAGTAGAGGTGCGAAAGAGAAAAAAAAAAAATATGTTTTAAAAATATTTATTAGAACTAAATGATATAGGTATAATAAATCAACTGTATACATTACAAATTTTATATATTTTCCACAACAAAATATACATAAATGCATAATAAATAATATTTATTTACAACATTACATTTATACAGAAAAAAAAAATTACAAAAAAGAACTTAACTGTCCTTCACAACTATTAGTATAAACAAGTTGAGGCTACATCACATTAAATTAAATAAATAAATGAAGAATCCTCTATTACTGGAGTCATATTATGTTTTGATTTATTGTTAGTAGTGAATGGAATATTTAATTTAGCAAAGGATTTCATGATGGGTATGAAGTCGAACTGTATGCCTTGTAAATGTGTCCTTTTACTCTTTTATGTTGAACCGTGCAGAAAAGCAGCATTGCAGAAATAAGTCCAAACAGCTAGAAAAAAAGTATTATTTATATATTATGGTATTGTAATGTATCTAATTATTTTAATAATAAAACTTTTGAAGCTAGGGACAAGAATGTAACAATGCCACAATTTTGAGGAAAGTAAGTTATTTGCCCAAAATGCTACTTTTTACCTCCATAAGAATAGTTCACTTAAAAATTATTTGAGGCATGTCACATTATTGCTGTCCAAGTTCTAGGAATTAGTAGCTAAGTTAATAAAATAAATTTATTTTCTTGTAGTTTTGTTAAATAACTTCGCAGGACTGAATAGAACCTCTGAGCTATTATGGCTCTTTGAATACAATACATCTGCGAATAAACATTCATATTCACTGTTATGACGTATAAAAAAAAAATACAACTTCCCTTATTCTCCAATATAAGTAAACAAACATAAATCGAAATTAACTTATTAAAAGAAAATGGAAAATTGAACATTACGGACGTAAAAAGAAAAAAATCCTGGTACATGTTCCAATTCTTTTTGTGTTAGGAGATAGGGCTCACTTACATATACCTCCAAAATACTAATTAAAAATATATAGTTTATTATCTGATTCGCCTTTGTGTGTTATTAACATACTGCGAAATATATTAACTTTTTTTATATAATATTTAAATATATAATTTTCGATATTTTCAAGTATAAAAAAAAATATTAAAAAAGGAATCAAAATTCGTAAAACTTATCACATTATCAATCAAACAATAAAATTTATGAAAAAAAGTATTAACATCAGGTATAGTTTATAAAAATGTACATATAATTTTCCTTCTCCATCCTTCAAAATTGATTTTTGGGCTAGGAAGATGAGCTCAGATAATGATAAAGAAAAATTTAATAAAATCATTGATTGAAAGTGATTTTTCAGTAGTTTAAACATCTCTATGTGAATTATTTAAAATTATGGTTGATGAGTAACTTACAGAAATAATTTCTTACATATTATCTTGAAAACACATTTAAAAACAAAACAAAAGATGCTGAGTATTAATTGAATGAAATGACTTACTTTTTAATGCCTGGAATGATTGAGATTAGTTATTAATAGAAAAATTCTAGGAAAAAAGTAGTACTGATGGATGTAGTAAGAAAAACCAATCAGTTATTAGTAAAAATTGTGAGACAAACCACTGTTTTAAACCTAAGCTATTTCTTATAAAATGTGACCAGTACAAAAAAAAATTGGTGCATGCAACACACAAAATTTCACTTACTGCTCTATTTTTAATAGAAATTATTTTCTGGCCATGTCGGACTATTGTAAAATTTTTGAAGTGCATTTATAATGGAGCTACAGCTTAAAGCTTACAGCTAACAAATCATTAAGACCATCAAAATAACAAAAACCCTATTAATTATATCAATGGTAGTCAATAAAAACCTGGTTACTCCCTCTGTTTTTGTAAACCACATTATTCCAGTCTCTGAACTGTATAAGGTATGTATGATAGGATATAATTTTAAAGTACATCTATATGTTCAACCTATAAATGATTATGGATTGTACACCTATCAGTTATTAAACTGTTATTTTAAATTGTAAAGTTTACTAAAATTAAATTACGAGATGCTTTTAATTGCCTGCCATAGATAGGTCAAAATTTGTCACACTAACATTAAGTGGATAATGTTGGGATATCACAAAGGAAAAATTCCTAATATCAGATCTAAAATTATCAAACTACAGTAAATGTATTTAATGTTATCAACACATGCTTTATACATCCATGAAATGATTTTATATTTCACTTCTTCTTTCTCACAAGTACAATGAAATAGTTTTTTAAACAATGTCATTGCGTTGATTAGGAGGATTTTAAATACTTTTTTCAAACTTAAAAAAAAATTACATTTAGTTAGTAAATTTAATTTAATATCCTTGAAAACATGTGATTTCCGTTAAATAATATTTTTTAGAAATTATTATATATAATGTTTCGTCACCCTCCGTTATCTTCTATAACTTTCTATATTAGATATTGTTTTTTTTTTTTTTTTTTTTTTTTTTATAAAATTCTCTGCTTTCCAACGATATATTACCTTCTGAGTATTATTTCCGGAGATTCATTTTAACCTAAATAAACATTTCTCTTTTTTTATCCATTTTTCAGTTATCAAATTCTTTCAAAAGTTATATTTAGTATTTTTTATGCAACCCTTAATAATCAGAGATAGTTAATTTAGAGGTAATTTAGATAGGTACTTTAGAGGAAGACGCATATGAACATAGGGTATTTAAGCCCTGTAAAATGACATCAATGGGGATAAGACCTAAATGATATTAAAGACCACTTAATTATACAATGATACACAGAGTACAACAATACACCAAGTTTAATCAAAATTGTTAGAGCCGTTTTTGAGAAAATTGTAAAATGTGTTTCACCGTTGATATAAAGTGGCATTTCCAGTCAGCCGATTTTAAGGAAAAAGTTGCTGTCACATCTAAATCATTCTTATCTTAAATACATGATATCAGTTTCGTACGACTTTTCGTTTTTGAGCTAGACTGCTAACATACAAACACACAGACCATTTTTCGGGACTTGGTTATTTGGATTCAGGGTACCCCAAAACGTGTATTTCCGTTGAAAACTCAGATTCAAAAATTTTCACGATCGCAATAATTACCCTTACTATAGATTACATATATATGTAAGTTAAAGTAAAAATTTAAAAAGTCATTTCATATTAATAAATGGTAATCTGGCAATACTTTCTCATTTTACTAAAGTTATACCCTTGAATGGTACAACTTCAGCTTTACAAAGCTTGAACTCTAAACACTGATGTTTCACAAATTATCCATGACAGTTTCCTAAAGGTGAAGTAAAACAAGTTGTAAAGAAGTCAATTCTAAGTTGTTGATTAAGTTGTGTTTTTAAATTTCTGTTGTACATCTTTATTGATTTATTGTCAGCTGTCAAGTATGTATCTTTGTAGACACCATTTGTAAGTAAAATTTTTTTTTTCCTTTTTTAGTAAGTGAAACCTTCAGTAGCCGTTCTTTAAAATACTGTGTGATTTACATTCATTCTCGACATTTTCTAATTTTTAAGTATTAGTTCATTATCAAAATAATCCTACAGAAGATGGAACTATCTTAGCCTAGTCACAAACTGCTACTGCTTGAATAATGAGGCTTCCAGATACAGATCGGGCACTGGTCCCTACCTTAGGAGTAAGTGCGTACTAAACTGATTATCAATATCATAAAAATGGAGGTCAATGAAATAAGATTGAACGTAATATTTAAAACATAAAAGTCTCAGAAATATTTAAAAAAGAAAAAAAATCTAGCTGAAGATATAGTTATTTAAAGTCGAACTGAACAAAATCTAATGCACATTTATTTCACATTAAACTGTTTATTTAACTTTCTTATACACCTGACCATGAGGGTTTTAATGATTTGAAGTTTATTATTATTATAATTATTATTTTTTTATTTTATTTTATTTTTTATGTAAGTATAAAGATAATTTTTTTAATAATAAAAATTGAGCAATTTTTCTCTATATCATCATAGACTCAAAATTATTTCTAATGTGATCTGATTGACTTATGACCAAATAGAATAAAATGTTCTTTTTATAAAAGAAAAAAATATTTCAACAGTATAATACATAAAAGGTCTTGGGTTAAGTAATTTGTGAGGAGATAATGTTTTTTTATTGATTATACAAAGAGGAGACATCAGTCAACAGCCAGGCCTAACCCAACCTAATTAAGAGTATCCACTTTTCAGAGGCTGGGTGTACCCTAGGAAGATAACCGATAGCTGATTAATAACAATTAATAATCAACTACAACCTGACCCTAACCCGGATACAGGAGTTTGATATCGAGTGTCTTACCGACTAAGCAACCCCACTTCACCTGAATGGTTCTTGTTACATAAATAATTTAATTTAATATTTAAAATTAATCTTAAAATAATACCTGGATAAAGGAAATGAGGAGGCCTACAACTCCTACGATATGCAGCTGGCTGACAAACCACATCAGAACTTGCTCAGAACATCCCTTGCTATACCAATATGCAATGTTTCCTTCTTCCCAGCAATCTATAAAAATAAGATTATATTTTTATAGTTCTATAATTGTCTTAATAGCAATCTTAACCAATGATGGTAGTAGTTTAATAATTTAAATTTTATCCCTATGAAGGTTCTGTTATTTCTTAATTCATCTTACATTTTCAATCATAATTTTATCTTTTATTTATAAAAAAAAAAAAAATAATAATAAAAACTACAATAAAATTAATTTTTTACTTAAGAATATTAAGCTTCTTTATATAATTTCCATTACTAAAACTAATATTTCTTAATACTGTTACTAAAAATATATTTACTAAAAAATTTAATTAAATTACATTAAAATATGAAATGAACTTAAGAAATAAATATTTTTATTTAACAGCAAAAGTGATACTTATTACCTATTCTAATTAACTTACTATTGAATCAAATGAATGGACAGCCTGAACTTTAAATTACAATTTTAACTATATTTCAGCACTCAATCATATTCAAGCTCATTAATTGGATTTTAGAAATATGTAATGTACATGTATTGAAAAATACAGATGTAGATAGATGAAATTATGCATACTTGTCATATTTTGATATTGAGGAAGGCAGCAAGAGACTGGAACTATTCTTCTATCCTCCCATGCTTTTATTTCATACCAGTCTTCATAGTTATTAATACCACAGCAATGGAACTAATTGTAACAAAGAAAATTGATTAAATATTTTAGCTGATCTTATTTATATACATGTATTAAATTTTAACTTCTCTTCAACATGTGCTATAATTATTTATATAACTTATTAAAGCTTTGAAAAATGCTACATTAATTAGAAAAAAAAATCTGATACTTTGCATCACTCAATTTTCACTTACCAGCCTGCTTTCAACAGAAATGATTTTTTTCAAAAATAAATAAACCGAGAGAATATTACTTAAAATATAAAAACTAACACAAGACAGCTGACATAAATTCTGATAATTATGACAATAGATACTTTGGTTTATCAGGCAGTAAAAAATTTAGTTTTGTATATATTTTTCATTAATTATTATATTTATATTAATTTAATTGAGTTAAAGCCACATAATTTAGCTAAGTTATTTACTTAAAGCTACCGAACAAATACTTACTTTTGTGTGAGCCTTAGACCAAATCACTTCTAAACCATTTTCTGTTGAATTTCTATAATGATACCTAATTCCATCCATCAGCTCCTCTTTCAGAATGTCATTCAAATCCTCTCTATATATGAAGGCGAGAGTTGCAAGAATGAATTCAATAAGAAACATAATTATGACAAGGCTGAAATACTGAAAAAAAAATAATGGAAGTAGTTTGCAGAAATGTTTAATATAAAATAAAGTTTGAAAACCAATTTTATAATTTCTATAATCCCCTTTTCTCTTATAATATATTCTAAGCAAATATTATCCCAGAACATTTCAAATACTAAAAATATATACAAGACTGAGATCACCTTTCCCTATCTGTTGAACCGCTAAAAAGTTTTCAATGTCTTATTCTAAATGTTCTCTTACCTTCTTTATAATAATATTTCACTATTAAAAACTAAATAATAAATATACCTCTTTTTATTGATGTAATATCAAAAGAAATACATATTTATGGTATATTAATTTAATTTAACCAACTCTTAAACTATTCTTCCTAACACTTTAATATCAGAGAAAAATATTCAATAATATGAAAAAATCATAAATTTTAAAAAATGATGTTTAATTGTAATAGTTTTCCTTTTAATGTCATTAATTATAAACTTATTTCTAGATTGTAATTCTTTCCAATTTCATTAGCAGCCCTCATCTCAAATGTTAAATTCCTTTTTTCTATGGTCTAATTCTTTCTGACAATAAAAAATAAGCTCCACCATCTTGTCTTTAAAACAAGGTTCAACAATAAGCTGAGCAATACAGATAGCAAACTAAAATATGCCACCCTAGTCTAAAAGTGATTTAATATTGTTTACTACCTACTTCACTAGCCAAACGCTATGCTGTTTACTTAGGTAAAACCTAGAAACGAAATGAATATAGTTTCTGATATACACAATTCTCCTAACTCATAGTAATTGTACTCTGAATTGTAATCCATTTCAATAAAAATTGCATTCTCACCAAGCCCCCAAGAACAAAAAAAAAATCTGTTGTAACTTCCAATATACTTCATACAAAAAATTTTCAAATTTTAAATATTATGGACGATATTTATTGAGTAATTTATCATGAATCCTCTTTAATTTTATCAACAGAAAGTCATGCTCCTATTTGTTAATTTAAATTAACAACTAGAAAAATAATTTATTAATACGTGTTCTTACTGTTACAAGCAAGCATCTACTTTGGAACCAACTGCCACAGCATGCAAAGAACGTAATGAGTACAGTAGTTGCTCCAACAATAATTAAAAGGATGTCAGCACTGAGTAAAGAATATTGTGGGACCAGGCTGGTGTAGCCATCATGTATTGCCCTCAGCCATATCCCCACTCCAAGAATCCCACAGCCAGATAGCTGGAAAAACAAATATAAATTTAGTACATTCATTATTTAGTATAATCTGTTTGGTAATAATGGCCTTCTGTAATTTTTTAAAATAAATTCATAGTTCAAACATTTAATAAGCCTAAAAAATAAATCTGTACTTTGGAACGTAATTCATTAATTACATAATTAGTTTAGAAAGGAATGCCTAAAACTATGATGTTTGAATAAACTGTGCAAAATAAATCAGGATAAGATGTACATTAATTCTTGAAAGGCCCAATGCTATTCCAGGTATTTATTAGCTTGTAATGAGAGGATATTGGCCTTTTAGAAATTAATTGATGTCCTTGATTTAACTATGTGCAGTTCACCCAAATTTAGGTTTAGGACATTGGTCATTTTTGTTCTAAGATATAAAAAGAAATTATAATAATAATAAACTGTTTATTTATCCTGGGACAAGTCCCTTTTTAAAAATATAAAACAAAAAAATTTTGGTTTAAGAGCATTAGAGAGTAACAACAAAAAATAACATAAAAAGAATAAATAACAGAAAAAAAAATCTTAGTATAACTTCTAATATTAAGAAATAGAAAAAAAAGATGATATAAATATAAAAAAATAAAACAAAAATAGAACCAATAATTTATCTACATATTTACAAACTTATCTCATCTCAATTTTTTTGAGAACTGGATAGGCAGTTACACTCTTCACAAAAACGGGAGACAAAGTAATAAGTATGAGAAATGTCATCAAAAGAAATATTGCTGCTAACACTTCATTCCTATTGCTAGAAAGTGTTTTCTTAAATCATTCTTATCATTCCTTTTCAGACAGAACTATTGGAAGTCCAAAATATTATTCATCATTTCCATAAAATAATTCTTTTTCATAATTTATGTTCGGTATTCGATGGCCAAGAACTAAAGAAGGGCAAAGGAGCACACCCTGGGTGGCAGCATTTAGTAGTAACGACTTTCTTTTTTTTTATTTCCCACCTAGTTCTAGACATTGTATTCTGGATGGGTATCCTCAGGGGTGCCCACAAGGGGGTTTCATGGAGCAAGTTGCGCCATTAAAACTTTTGAGGGAGTGCACATTTTAAAGGGGTTTTGAATTTTTGAGGGAGGCACATTTCGACGGGGTTATGAATTTTTAGATTGAAAAGTTTCAAACCAGGATACTAGAGAAAAGCATAGCACAGGCCACTGAAAGTGTAATTGTATATGACCCATGATTTTAAATTTTACCTTAGCTTGCATTGCTATTAAGAAGAGGAAAGAAATAAAATATCTTAGGAGGGGAAGGGGAAGTCACTTCCCATAGACCTTGGGGGGGGGGGGAGGATGGTCACTCCTGGGTATCCTAAATTGTAAGTAGCTTAAGATCAACACCATTCCTTAGTTTAGTGGGCGGGGTGGCCGAATGGGCTAAAGCGTGAGCACAGTACCGCCGTTGCCTGGCAATCTGATATATGAATCTAATGATATAAAAGTGTCATGAGTTCGCGTACCGGTGCCGAGGGAGTCTGTTAAATCGCCGCCCACACTCCCTGGCCCGGGAAAACCCCGTATAGCCTTAACGGCGAGGAACGGGAGGACCCCCCCCAAAAAAAAAAAGCTAGCAAGCGCGATTATTGCATTTGTTCTTTTACTTAGATAAGAAGCACAATAATGCAGTGCCGGCCTTAGACATTTGGCACCCTCCCCTGGACAATGACGTCATCTATCCCCACTAAAAAATAGTGGTTAGCGCCCCTCAAGATCGGCCGGCGCTCCCAACAGGCACTCCTCCAGATCGGCTACCCGGGCTATTATTCCGGTAGGCCGGTATTGCAAGAATGTATAAATTGATCAAAGTGAGGGGTATTAAAATAATTTTTGGAATGGAACAGATTTATGGAGCCTGAAAAGATGAACAATAATGAAATGTAGCAGACTATTGGTGATATCTCCAAAGAGCTGGATAAAGAATGTCTAGCCATGGTTTCTGACATGGAGTGGAGATGATAATATTTCCGCTTCTTCGTAATCACTTACCATTTTCTCTAGCTATATAAGCAATCTTTCTTATTCCGTTCATCGCTCACAATACCACTTACATGCTGATGACTTCCAAATTTATCAATCCTTTCATCCTACATGATGATTATATCTTCTTGAAGACAACAAGAAGATATAAACATTATCAACGCATATAAAATGAACAATGGTTTGAGGCTGAATATGGAGAAAACTAAGTCCATTATCATTGGTTCCAAGCATCTTCCTAACTCGCTTTCTCATTATCACTTACTCTACTTAAATAACCCGCCAATTAGCTTCCAAACTTCCGTTAGAAACACTAGATTAAATAAATATATACGAAATAAATTAATATAACTATAAATATTGAGCTAAGACATGGAGTGGGGAATTATACATCAAAACTTGTTATAATGATAAAGATAAGTAATTAATAACTCACCCATAATAAAACATTAACATAGCAGAATATGTATCGAACGCAAGTATAGCCGCTACGACTCATGCCTTTGCCGGACCTGCAATATAGACAAAATATTTCTATCAATAATAAATACAAAAAAATCACTCATATATATATATTTTTGCTTTAAAACTTGTCAAACCAAGTCCTATTTTGCCTGTAGTAATATTCTAATTATTTTGCCTCTCCTATAAAATTTTATGATTTGCAGTTACGTCATTATTCTACTGGATGAGCGATATGTTGTGAAATGCTTATAAGTTGCTTCTCGAATAATATTATGATTTTTTTTTTATCACAGTAATTAAACTTCCAAGACTACTAAACTACCAATAAGTTATCACCAAAAAGTTGTAGTTATTAAAAAGTTTTGAGTGAACAAAATTTAATTTCAATATGTTCCCTTCCTGCTATAATATTTTTCTATCAACTACAATAAGATTTTTATATCCTTATTTTTATAATTATTGCATCTACACCTAAGGATCATTGGAAAAATTACAACTAATATTCGGTTATAATTTACATTTTACGTCTTATAGAATCTCTATAGTCTGCTTCCAGTTCTTGATATTCTTATGATTATCAACAACGTTCCTCGTCAAATAATTATCAATTGTACAAACAAGATTCCTCATCCCTCCAAGTATGTGAGGCCGGTCAGCCTACTGAAGCAGCTCATATCGACTGGGGCCTAAGACCGATGATCCTACCCTGTGAACTGGGAATCAGTATGAGGTGTTTTAAGATGTCACTAACGGGAAGGGAAGGAGCGCACCTCTGTACCAGGTGCTTACATTCTGTGTACATCTTACATTATTTTCTTTATTTTCCAAAGTCCGGGCGCAAGTTGATCCACAGCCTGGTGAGGTGAAGTGATATGACAACTCGTAAGATTAATAAAAATGGTCATGATAGTATTTTTTTTAAATATTACGTTAGAAATTTTTTCTATGAGGATGAATTCCCTCTATATCTCTACTTTCTATAAATAGCTGCTTTTTGAAACTTTTTCGGAATCTTTTGTTGAGCATCCTGGGGAAGGGCGCCCTCTGGCAAAATTCGCTAGTAGTCCTGGACACAACAATAATTTTTTTTTATATATTACATTAGAAAATTCGTCTATGAGGATGATTTTTTCCTATATTACTTATTTTTTGTAATAGCTGCTTTTTGGAACGTTTTTCCCACTATCCAGGGGAGAGAGGGGAACGCCCCCTTCCCCCGGCTGGATCCGCTTTTATAGGTCACGATAATATTTTTTTTATATCGAATTCGAAAATTCAAAAGACGAAAAGAGAAAAATAGGTCCTCTTTCGTCTGCTGATCCTCAACAGTCATAGTGAGATTTTGTAAAGTATCTGCGGTTCCGCAAGCAATACACGTCTTTACAGCGCCAACCGAAAAAAAAAATGCATGATTAAAATAGGAGCGAGGCATCTCAGTGAGTAAGGCACTGCATTCTAGGTCCCACGTTCGAGTCAGGCGTTGGCAAGTAATATTACGTTACACTGACCGAGGATAGACCAAGAATCGGAAGATCTTTCTGCGGCACATCCCGTCTCTTTGAATTAAACGAAATAAGTAAGGTTAAATAAGGGAAAGAACATGAGGTTTAAGAATGACATCTGTCACATCATTTTTTTGAACAACCTTTGATGAAGAAGCCAGAACTTGCTTACAAAGTACTGACTGAACCCAAGATTCTCTAAGGGTTGAACAGGTTTTTTATGTATGATGAATAAGTTAAATAATAATTATATACTAACATAAATAAGAATAAAACCTGATTAAGAAAAAACTTTAAAGAAACAATTAAAACAGATTCGGAGGAAAATGTTCACGAATGATTCATTCAGATATAAGAAGTGTACAATAGCTCTTCTTAAAAGGGCAAAGTAACAAAGAGACTGAGCTTATCACATTTCATCTGGAGGCGTCTTCAAGGGTCAACCTTTCTCCTGGACTTCGCTTTCATTTAGAAAACACACAAACACAAGTCAACGCCTTTCGAGAAAGTAAATGAAGCTTTGCCCTTTCCGTTTCACTTTCATTTTAAAAAAACAAATCAGTAGCTTAAACATCAAAATTTATAGAATTTTAATTTGCGATTAAATACAGTTACTCTCAGAGATAATAGTGATTAATACACTGGAAAACTTTGGAATGTATCGAAGTGGTAGCAAGATCAAAACAGATATACAGACAGGAAGGCAATTATTTGAATGAGGAACTAGATCCAGGATTAAACTTTTTTGGGGATGGGGAGGGCTTCAGACCGAAAGATTTTTTTAATATATATGTGTATATATATGTATGTATGTATACAGTTAAATGATATATATATATATAATTGATACACCTCCTAGAAAAATAGAAAAAAAAAAAGACTTCAATGGTTACAGTAAATAAATAAAACCAGAAACCATTCAATACATTTATTTGTGATATCGTTTAAAATATGTACAAACTCAATAAAATAAAAATATTCAACTGAGATTATTTAAAAAAAAATAACAATAAAAAAATAGATAATTTTACCTCACAGTCATAATGATACACCTCACTGCTTATTAACTTTTAAACACTTCTAATTTAGTTCAATATCTTGTAGGTAAGCCACTTCTTTCTAGCCCCTGGTACAGAACCCTTTTTATGAAATTATTAACATCCGGCTGAAACATCGTAAATAGCTTCATTTCATAGTAACATACAAATATTTTATTTACAAAAATTCTCGGTATCGGGGCGTTTTCAATCTGGATGTCGGCAAACTTTGCCTATTTAATTAGGTACTAAAAACTCGTAAATACCCATTTGCTTTCCACTTTAATCGTAAGATAACTTAATCACTAAGTCGAGAAAAAAAGTGGCCTTCAAAAATATTGAGCAGTTTGACATATAAGACCTCGTTATTTTGACAATTTGGGGGTGTAGGTCACGCCAAACGGCTCAATTTTTTTGATGGTCACCATTTTTCTCGACTTTGTGCTCAAGTTATCTTACGATTAAAGTGAAAAGCAAATGGGTATTTACGAGTTTTTAGTACCTAATTAAATAGACAAAGTTTGCCCACCTCCAGATTGAAAACGCTCCAATTCCGAGAATTTTCGTAAATAAAATATTTGTAGGTTACGATGAGATGAAGCTATTTACGAAGTTTCAGCCGGATGTTAATAATTTCATAAAAAGGGGCCTGTACCACGGACTATTCAGCCTGTAATAGAGTCGACCATTTTTTTTTTTTTTTTTTTTGGAGATTCTGGGTTTTGCCTGTTCCATTCTTCGAGAAGATATTTTTTAAAGTCTTCTTTGCTAGAAAATTCGTGTTTTCTAATTTCTACCTCCAATTTTGTCCACAGGTGTTCCATCACATTATGTTCTGATGACTTTAGTGGTGCTTTTAGAACTTTAGGATAGTTATAAAGTAGGCATTCCCTAACTAACATGGCAGAGTGGTTGGCGTCATTATCTTGATAAAACAAAATTTGTTTTTAGTCCAAATTTTCCACAATTTCTTTCAAGTTTCTTATCAAAATGTCCATGTAAACATGTTTATTCATTATAACATGTAAATATTTGCACTATAAAGTGAAGATTTCATACACCAGAAGCTGCAGTACTTCACCACACCGAGAACATAGCATAAGAAGAGAGCGTAACATAAGAAAATAACACTTTACTAGGATGTTTATTGATTACAATAAATTATCGTTTTTAATGTAATATAAATTGAACTAATAATTTCTATCAATATCCAGGTGTATCATTTTGACTGTATATAACGATTATTATTTAGGAAGAAGAAGATTGGACTTTGCAAGACCAAGACCAAGACTGCCCGATTGTTGCAAGACCAAGACTAATACTAATAAAAACAGAATCCTTTTAGTGAATAAATTTTTTTTTTTTTTTTTTAATTTTTTTATTGAGTATTATAACAATCTGTCTGTTGGACATTGGTTATAGTGAGGTAAGATGACATTCACACCATATGTACAAAAAAAATAAAATAAATAGAACAAAATAATAATCAAAAGTATATACAATAGACAATAAAATAAAATAACCTAAAAAATAAGAAAATTAAAACTAAGAAAAAAAAAAAAAACACATGCATACCTATATACAATCAGGCGAGGGAACTCCCTGCGCTACTCTCCCAACCGCGTCACTGGTACTAAAGCCAGCGGAGATTCGTCGAGAGCACTTTAGCCACATACACACATGTCTTGAGTGAAGAATCTGGCCATTGCCAGAACTCCAATTTATATAATCAAAAGGTCGCGAGGCCACTGCCGTTTCAACCTTCTTGGAGGATTATAGGGATGGGAGATGCTTGATAGGGATTGTGCAAGAGGATTTGGGTGGTAAGTAAGGTTCTGGTGAAACTTGGAGAATTTTTCTGGGATAAGGTCTAGGACAAATGGGATGTTAAGGTCATGATGTAGGGTTTTGTTGGATACATAGAAAGGAGCATCGACTATTGTTCGAAGGACTTTAGACTGGAAGAATTGGATGCGCTTGATGTTAGAAAATTTTGCTGATCCCCACAGTTCTAGTCCGTAAGTCCAAATAGGTTTCAGTATTGTCTTGTAGATCAGTAGCTTGTTTTCAATGGAAAGTTTAGATTTTCTGCTTAGTAGTCGGTATAGTTGGCCGTATCGTCGGTTGAGTTCTTGTCTTTTGAGTCTAGTATGCGGGTTCCAAGTTAGTCTTCGGTCTAAATGAAAGCCAAGATACCGGACTGTGTCTGAGTAAGGAAGCTGGATGGAATTAAAGAGTACTGGTGGACAGGAATTGCGTCGGAGTGTAAAGGTAATATGTTGGCATTTAGATTCATTAACTTTAATGCGCCAGTTATTACACCAGTGCTCAATCAAGGTGAGGTGACTTTGGAGATTTAAGGATGCTATTTCGGGATCAGAGTTGAATGATAAGATTGCGGTGTCGTCAGCGAATGTTGCAAGAAAAGTATCGGGATGAACAGGGATGTCAGCAGTAAAGAGGATGTAAAGCACGGGACCCAAGACGCTGCTTTGGGGAACACCGGCTTT